TATATATATATATGTATGTATATGTATGTATATATATATATGTATATATGTATATATGTATATATATATACCACCAGCTTAATGTTCCCAAATCTTTACAATACCATAGTGTGTATTAATTAAACTAAGCAAACAATTCTATTAAGTGTCCCAATAAGACAGCATGCACAATACTAGAGCCCTGCAATTTAATAAAACCTAAATGGAATGCAGCCATTGTTAACTATTAGTTCCAGCTGCAGTTTTTCTGCTGTGACGTAGCAAAATGTTTACTCAATTGGTTTCTTACTGTGAGGGCCTTTAACTGTTATGCCAAATAAATAAACTTTGCCCACATGGAAACAGCGCAGGTTCAGGCCCCCAGTATCCTTCCCAGTGCCCCTGCCCTCTCATGCTGTCATTCAATCCGATGCAAACACCCAGCAGCTCAGGAGAAATGTGTGTCATATCCATGTTCCACCTTCATTATGTTAAAGCTACTACAAGGAATTTTCATTTTGTGTTGATTTTGGCGGTCCCTGTGGACAAAAGCGGTAGTGTTTCCTCGCACCAGAATCCCTTCAGAAAACTTCTCTCTTTCCTGCAGCAGGGTCTGACAGTCTGTCCGGCCTGGTTCAGGTTCTCCCGTGCCTCTCTTCCCTCTAGAGGGCCCAGCAATACATCCTGGACCTCCAGCAGCGTGGTGTTGGCTAATCATGGAGGTGAAGCTGTACTTGCGGCTGAAGGAGGGGCCGCTGCTGCAGAGCTCTCCTCTTACCTTCTGACTGCAGGTCCAAAGCAACGCTGAAGCCGGATCTGGGTCTGTCTGTGGAGGGCTGGGTGCTGCTGGATGTTTCTCCTATAATATTGTTATTTGGCTAATCATGTGCATACGAGACAGTGTCTGTTATGTGAAACTGAATATAAAGGGTGTCAACATGTTGCAGGGTTCCTATACATTGGTCATTCAGATGTCCTCAAACCAGATGCCACACGTCACATCCATGTCTCTCCAATCACATGAAGACAATAGGATCAGCGAGGTGGACCAATCGGTGTCTTACTTTTCTGAAAAAGTCTCATATCACGTGACTCATTTCGGCTTTGACCTGAGGAATACCACCTGTGGTTGAAACATATCTGTCATGTCCACATGGAAATTTAAGTAGTTTGTCTTTGTGTGCATAATTTGGTCTCTATACCTTTCTCTCTTCATCAGGTTACACAAAGCCTGACTTGTTGAACGCATACCGCGAGCTTGAATCTTTAGATTAATAAAGCAGAAAGCTGAAGTAGTAGTCTTGAAGCATGCTATACTGTATTTATATGATATTAAACTTGCATTGACACAACAGCGCGGTTGCCATAGGATATCCGAGCGCATGTGGACCAACTGGCCACCGCCCTCTTAAAGGATCATGAATGCATTAAATAATCAATAAAGTAGCGCAATGAATGTATCAAAATGTAAGGGTGTACAAGTATAGCCTTTTCTCTATAAATCTACTCACGTAAGAGCAAAAAGTACAGTATGTCGCATACTTTGACAAGTACCAATTACTTAAAAAAAGTGACTTGAATACATGTGACAGTAAATGTAATAACCCACATCTGTGTGAGTTAGTGTTGATTCTGTTTCTATATTTTCTCTTGCTTGAATATAGTTTAAGGTAATCCATCTCTGTGTGTGTAACATGTTCAGCAGCAGTTATAATAGGATTGGCGCAATTTTAATTTACATCATAAAATGCTCCTGTTTCTGACATTTCCTCACATAACCAGCTGCTTAAATACGGTAACGTTGCTCTTGTAAGCAGAATAAATATGCTAGTAATGGCAAATCAGTTTACTTAATGGTTTTAATATTTGTGGATGTATATTGATGGCTTCTACGGTGGATAATTGACCCCCGTTTGATCTGTAACCCTTTTCATTATAGCATTGTGATTACTGGAATAATTCTGGACAGTTTTACACACATAGTCAAATATATATTATATATATTATTATATATACTGTATATATTAAAGTGTCTCATAAAGAGTCATAATATGTTGAAATAATGCATTCAAACCAACCTTGGTGTATTAGATGAAGTATGGATATTTGCACTGATAAATCATCTTCAATTTCATTTAATTTCCATCTATTTTACTGTTAATTAATTAGCGATTCTAATATAACAAAGCTTGTATGAAAGTGTGTTTTAAGGAAACTCTAAATGAACTATCACTTGAGGGTGCTCTGATCGATCGTTATTGGGCAACATTCGTTCTAAGGAAACAAAAGCTGTCGAGCGTTCATGACGACTTCATTCTTTATATAGCCGGCATATCGATAGTTTGTTAAGCTCAATAAACACAGATACTATTTGACCAGAATTCAGGGCAGATTTTAGGTCACTATTGCAAATTTGAACTGCAACCAAGCAATACAAAGACAAATTTAGATTAAGTACACAACATACACAAATGGTAGCAGGGCGGTGAATGAATGAATGTGGATTTGTCTGTCGGCCCGGACAACCTCAACAACCATCCAATATCGGGGACTAAAAGTCAAAATATCTGCTCCTTTGAATTAATAAAACTCATGCAAGTCCAACATTTATGGAAATGCAACAATAAATCACTGGACCGCCTCTTTAAATGTTGCTGGCCCAAAGATGTCAGCATGCTGATGGGAAACACCTGCTGTATCAACCCTTGAGAGGTCTAACCAGCAGAGAGCAGCAGCAGCAGCAGCAGCAGCTCTCAGTTTGAATCAGTGTTCATTTAAAGACACGAGAGCGATTTGAGTGCTTTTATTCCACAGGGACAGCAAAAACACAGAATTCATAGAAAAACAAGTCAACGGCATTTCTTTCCACAGAATAGTATAATAGAGTTCCTCACTTTGAGGCAACATGAGAAAACAACACATGCTGCTTTAATAAAGGATTTCTGCTGCTACAATAAGCAGCATGTATGGAGCGTAGTGCATTGCACTTTTATATTAAAGAGATAGCATTCGGTCTGCTACGTTTTCAAGGCTTCATCAGATCAAGTCACTTTTAATGCTGAAAATAAAGGGTGAGTTTGGAATGTGGTCAAGCACAAGTACATTACTTTCACGTAATAATCAAGAGAACTAAAAACGTTCTCTCTTTTTTATTTTGTTGCAGTTTTCACTTTGCTTCTGGGATGAGAACTCCAGTGTGGACTCAGTTTGAGTCAAAAAAAACCGTAATAAAAAGCGCCTTTCTAATCTAGAAGGAGATGTGGCTGGTCTTGTAGCTCTGGATGAGAGAAATCAGTTCGGTCATGTCTGAGATGTGTGGGTAAGCGTTCATGACTTGCTCCACCGTCCTCTGGGGGAAGAGGGTGCTCAGCTGGCTCCTCTGGCCCTTCCTCTGATCGCTGGACGGGTTCTTGGTGCCGCCCTGCGTCCACGGGTCCCTTGGTAAGCTGTGGCTCTGTCTGGAAGAGGGCTGTCTCAAGTACTCCTCTGAATAGTGGCCGGGATGCTCCCCGTTATGTGGAGGCAGAGCAGGGCAGGAGCCCCATGCTGGGTGTTGGCGGTGGCACATCCTCGTCTCCTGGTGGCCGCACCTGCACTGGCTGCACACGGGGCGTTCGCAGGGCACCGAACTATTCTGATGAGGGTAGTAACCTCCCCCGCACAGGCAGGGCCTCCGGGTGGTTCCGCCGAAGGACCCTGAGAATGAGTAACCGTCGTGGCTGTAGCTGGCTACTCCGCTGCTGTAGCTGTGCAGAGGACTGGTGTAGGGAGCGTCCTGGATGTAGAGCCTGGACATGGAGCCCTCCATGGAGCTGAAGGCCTCGTCCATGTCCGGGCTCGTGTTGGCTTGGCTTCTCGGGCTGCCGGCGTCTCTGTGGTAGACGAACTGCTCGCTGGGCGAAGACCTGCGGGATTGATCCTCGAAGCTCAGAGGCGGAGGGGTGGACGAGGTGTATCTGAGCTCCGGCTGATACGCAGCCGGGCAGCAGTGCGCGTCCTGCAGGCTCGGTTTAGGCGAGAAGTTCTTGGCTCTGTCTCTCAGCGCCCTCAGCTCATCGGCCACAGACAGCTGCGATTGGTTGGCCCGCTCCGGGTGGTAGAACTTGCATTTGACTCCATAAGTGCACTTCTTTCCTGATAGAAAGAAAGAAAGAAGAGGTTATTTATGGGCGCCCACACAGCCATAAACAACAAAAACTGCAACCCCCCCTACTGACTCTACTTTACTCTGAGAGTTAAGTAGAAGATTACTTTTGCGTTGAAATCATAGTTTCAATGAAGGCAGATGAAAACTTTGTGAGGAGTCTGCAAAGAAGTAACACAAGGACAGAGATTTTCACACAGCTGGGAGCACAGCTTCTACTTCTTGAAATCTCAAAACTGTCGGTACTTTAATACTTCCTCAATGGGATGAGAAAACATTCCGGTCTTGTGACATCTTTTCTAAACCAAAAATTTAAAATCCACTGTGGCCAATCAGAGTGGCAAAAGTCTGCACACTAGATTTAGGTTGACTCCTCATAACTTTGACCGAAAGGGTCAGTGTTCACTTGGCCAATGAATAATATCCTGGAACAGCACACAATATTGTTCATTTGTTTGTTCCCAGACGATGCGTCCTCATGACTTTTGTGACGCCCCAACGACTTTTCATATTATTACATCTTATATGTTTGGTTTACTTTATGACCAACATACCGGCAGATATAGTGACATTCCCATCAGCCTCAGCTGTACTCGCGTGCTAAACTAAGACGATCATGTCAAACATTATACCTGCTAAACACCCGGATGTTCATCGGGAGCATGTTAGCATGCCAACATTGGCATTTAGCTTAAGGCAGAGCTGTGCCTTTAAGTGCAGCCTCGCAGTGGACTCTTGTTTCCAGATGAACCACAGGTTGATTCAGTGGAATGTAAAATGCATTGCTGGTTGTCATGGTGTTGGTTTTAATCCCCCAGGACAGTACAAGGAAGTCTAACCTCAGCGCTAGTGTCGGGTGAAACAGAAGAGTAAAACTAACCGTAAGGACAGTGCTTCAGCTTGTTGTCCAGGGTCCACGACTTCTTCCGCAGGAAATCATCGATGTTGGGACCATTTCTACCCAAGGGATCGTCTGGAGGCATAAACCTGCACCAGCACGGACACACAGTCAGGATCAGGTGACATCAGTTACAATGCATGATGTTATTTTGGTGCGAAAGGGGAACCCTCTCTTAGAATATGTTAGCAGAAGAGCAGCCCCTGCTTGTGCACAGAGGCCTTAAAGCCGCCATCAGGCTTACTTGTCATTAACGAAGGTGTACATCAGCAGCCTTTCCTCGATGAACTTCTTCCACTGGGGATTCTCCGTCTGCAGGTCGCGGTAGTTGTCGTTGGACACGATGATGCCGTCCGAGTTGAAGGCCAGCTTGATGATGTAGCGGTCGTCGTAGCACACCACCCTCTTGCCGTTCACGCAGCGAGACGGCGTGTACACCAGGATCTTCCTCCTCTCCAGCTCGTGGAGCACATGTTGATCTAGGAAACACATGAATACAATTTTTTAGAAAGTCAGTCTGAAGAAATGCCCAAAAAAACCCTACTACAAGGTTGACATATGAATGAGTCCCCAGCATGCAGCACTGCTCCATAAGCAGAAGATAACAGCCAACATAATGGTGCTGGCTGAATGGTTTCCGTGGATAAACGACGAACGCGCACCTGTACCTATCGAGGTTGGCTCTACATTTCAAATGAGCAGCCAACATGCTCGCTGATGATATACTGAGGCAGGTGACATGCATGTGGCAGCCCACATGAGCTTTCATCATTATCTGTAGTATTGTTGTTGTGATAGTGAGCATAGAAGGATTGGAACTGCACTGGGCCCGGAGGATGCTTCCTTGTAGTCGGATAATGATCGCTTTCAGTCAAGAAGACATTTGTAGCTGACTTGCTCTGACATGAACAAAATACTGGATTTCAGTTTTGGTAGTTCCACTTCCTTATTGTTTGATAAGTAAACAATAAGGAAGCGTGAACAGTTAGAAACTTGTGCAATCCACTGGATGGACTTCAATGAAAGATCAGGCTGCCAAACACGACGAAAGATAGCAGCATATGACATGCCAGAACAGTTATGAATATGATATTTTTTCTCATTTCCTTGACTTCGGTGATGAGTAATCCTAGCTGGGAAATTTCCGGCTCATGTCAGTACCGCCTCAATATTGTGAAAGATACTCTTCTTCTTTTACATCCGTGTATTCAAATGAATCAGATTGTTTTGCTGCTGCGAGTTAGTAGTACCATGGGCTAATAGTATTCATGCTCAGCACAACATACATACACATACATGCATACACATAGGTGTGTGCTCTCGAGGCACCTTGTAAGTGCATAAAGGATTCTGGGTTATGACTCCCACATTAGGAATTTGTCTCTTCGCAGAAGAACTGAGCCTGTAACGCTCTGTAACGAAGCTTGAAAGCTGCATTAAAAGCCATTATAATCAAATCTGGCACCGCTACAAAGACAGTGAACGGAGTGGCTGACCACATGAGACTGTAGTGTCAGTTGGCGCAACCATAACTGAGGCTTCAATTCTGGTCGGTCCTAATTGGCAGTGCTTAAATACAACGGTTATTATGTTTGTCTTTCGGCACAACCAGAGTCTCATGGCACCACATGACAGGGCCACGCGCAATCCATTGTCTACAAACCACCTGCAGCTGTTTCAATACAACATGACGTGCTGACTGGGTGAGGTCAGCCTTAACGTAAAATGTGCACACAAACCTGACGAAACTGAGCAAACGCAACATGGGAGTTGTCACAGGTTTGTGGCTTCTCCCCTTTTAACTGCCCTCACCACCGTATCAGAGAGAGAGCGGGCGGCGGCGACCTCACCTGTGATGGGCGCCTCTGGCCGCGGCTGCTCCTTCCTCCACAGGGGAACGAACACGGTGATGTCTCGCAGCCCTTTGTCCCAGAACCAGCTCACCGCCAGCTGGAGGCCCTGGCACGAAAACACCTTCTTGTCGCCATGGCTACAAAGACACAGAATCCAGAATCAACAAAAAAAGCAAAAAAAACAACTTCTTCTTTTGTGTTTCCGTGCACGCAACTGTATGCGCGCACACACACACACACACACATATATATCCCCCCCTTTTCAGGAAGTAGATGTGTTGCAAGGCATGCACTCTCAGTTCTCTAAAACACAATTGCAATAGTAAGTTGATGCAGAACAGACTGTTCACCTGCACTTTTTCAAGGCACTTTCTCTCGTATTAAAAATGAAATTCAAATGTAAGTTTTATTTTGAATTATAGTGCCTTACAAAACAGGGGCTACTTTTTTGTATTGAAGAAATACATAAAAAAAACAGGCAAAATAACTTGTCATCAAATCTAAACCCTGACTCATCTCGGAAACATAACAGCTGTTACGTCCCGAGGGAGGAGGTACAAGTGAGAGATTATGAGTGAGAAACAAAGCCTTTGTTTGTTTTTTTCGCTGAAACATGCCGTTTCCCGAAAATAGACCATAAAAAAAGTTATTGCATTTCCTTGAATTCAATGAATAAAAGAGCACAAGTAACTTGAAAATCATCACCAGCAGTTCAGTGAAGCCTGGCGTGCTTTCAGATCTGGTACAGTAGTACCGGATTGCCTTACAAATGTCTGTTCTCTGAAATCCAAACCTCACTGTAACACAAGGACATTCTAGCTACTGATGGAGTAAACAGGGTTGTTTTGCCCGCCAGCAAAAGTAAAACGTGTGTGCGCGTCCATGCGACTGTGGTTCCCCTTCTCCCTGTCGGCAGGAAGTGGTTAGGCACTTTGAATACAACAGGTACCGCTTCTTTTCTTTCTTTTTTAGATCTGCCTAATCTTAGATAAGAGCATTCCTCTACTTCAAATTCACTTTCAGTTCTGTCTCAAACAAAAGCAGCAGTCTATTTAATTGAATTACATTTTTTTGTATTTAATTAAATTTTTTTGATTTTGGTTTGTTTGTTTGATACATCTCTGTTTTTTTATTTTAGAAAATGCCTTTTGAGATTGCTTCTTGTTAACCCAGTAATAATTTAGTAGCCAGGCTTGGCGTGAGTGTCTGGAGTCTGAATACAGGTATATCTTGCATAACTTCATTGGCGAGTCGTAAAGATGACGTTTCCTTGATCCTTTATACTTGCAGCCTGAAAGCACTTTCCTTGAGTTAAACTATAAAACCACAGGAGACGCAAGTCAGGAGCAGCACGGTTAATGGAAACAAGCAATCACTGCCTGCTCGTTCATCTTGAATATGTTTTAGTCCAATTTAGTTGAAGATTAAAGTTAAACTACTTTAACTAGCTGCTTTCTACTGCAAAGTATTCTCCTGTTTTTGGTGACATACAGTATAGTATAAAACAGCAATTTTATTTCTTCTTTCTTTTTTATTTGAACCAGCTGGGGGCAACACAACAAGTTGTAAACACTGATATATTGAGTGGCATTATGGGAAATGTAGGAGCCAGTTTTATGGGGCGGTTGAGCCATAAGAGGGGCTTAAAGCCATAAGAGGGGCTTAAAGCCATGCACCATCTCAACACTTTTTAAATCGGTCTCTCAATTCAGTCCAAATATAAAACTAAAGGGAACCGTCGAGGTGACTCAGTGAACGTCAGTTCTTACAGCATAACCGGATCGCCGGGTAACTTCTGAAGAGGTGCGTACAGGGAAGTGGAGCCCGACGAGAGACTCCCTGCCTGAGGCCAACCACAGTTACACGCCCGCCTCTCCTGGGAATGAAGGTGTTACAGTAAACCCTCGAACCTTCTCTTCCTCCGTGTCCTTACAGGAATATGTGTGGTGAAAACGTTGCCCTTTTGTTGCCCCCTTTTGAATTTACAGCATGCCGTCTCGCCCATTGACGCGTTATTTGTTTGAGCAAATTTCGACTCAGAACTTCCTCGTTACCAACAGGTAAAAGTTGAGATTAGATGACGCGGCAATTTCACGCCAGTGTGGTGTTATATGCATACTGCAGAGTATCATCTCAAACGGCTTGAGTCTGACTTTTTATTGTATTGAAGAGGACAGAGAGAGGAGAATAAAAAGGAGCACATCGTGTTTTCACTTCCCACATCTTTAAAGAGGAAGTGTGCCGCGATCGATTCTGCGAAGTGAAACAAGATTTGACACAAATAAAGGACGCTGTCATGTGAACGGAAATTCATTTTTAACATTCAAATAGTGCAGTTGTCATGTTCTTTTTTAAATTCGATTACGCACATGAACATCTGCGCTATTTGTAAAAGCGTCACACCTAAAGAAATTATTTTTTCCAGGAAGTAAAGAAAGAGAATGTTTTTTTTTCTCATGTAAAATTTTCTTTAATGTTTATTTTAGCCCAAGAATGAAATTCCAGTGAGACAGTGTCTGAAAGAAACGACCTGCATTTACTCAAGTACCGTCCAGCACAACTTTGAGATACCACCATTTTTACTTTATACGTGTACTTTTACTCCACAACATTTCAGAGACATATTTGCTTTACAACTACAGTTGCAGATTCAGATTTTTGCAAATCTCGATAAACCTCTTAAATATGTATCATGTATCAATATAGATTAAATTACATATAAAGTAATTAGATAGAGCTCCCTGACTAGAACTGAAATCTTGCAAATATATAAAGGCACTGGTAATAATAATAATAATAATAATCATAATCAGATAATGAGGAAATAATACAAAGCTCTTAGAAGCATTCTGCCAAACAACTACTTTTGATACTTTAAGTACATTTTGCTGATAATACTTCTGTACTTTTATTAAAACTACTGTACTAGTAAAATGACAGCAGAGTTTTTTACTGAAGTAAAAGACATGACTACTTCCTCCACCGCTGCAGCTGAAGACATACATACAAAATATATAAGACAAGTATCCTTAAGTTGTGAGTGGACTCACCTCATGGCCACGTTGCTTCCATCTATAACCACTGGTCTGAAGCCAGCGACGGGCTCTCTGTCTGATCCGGGTCTGGGTAGACCGGGACAGGGGCTGCAGCCTCTGGACACCAGCTTGGGACTGTTCGGGACGCTTCCGTTGCCGCCGCGTGTGTGGCAGGTCTTTATCAGCTCCTCCAGGATGTCGTTGGTCTGGGCGTCGTGGCGGAGGCTCTCCAGCACCCTCAGGATGTCACTGTGCGAGTACCCCAACTTGAGGAACCGCTCCACATTGGCTTGCTGCTGCATCTGGTGGTCCATGACGGACGTGTGCTTCCTCTCCTCGGCCCTTCACTCGGGTTCTGTCCGGACGGGGACTCCTCCTCGCCTCCTTACTTGTCAACGTCTCCGTGGCAACGGGCCTGTGTTTTTTTTTGACAGGTGAGAGGATTGAGGGGGAGTCAAACCTCAGTCACTGTAAACACAGGAAGCACGAGGGCGGGGGGGGGGGGTTACCACATCCTCATGACAGTCAACGCAAGCACACACACCGGCTGACGTGACGCTGGTTAAGAAAGCCCCCTGTCTCTGTCTCTCTCTCTCACACACACACACACACACACACACACACACACACACACACACACAC